TTTTTTTTTTTTTTTTTTTTTTTTTTTTTTTTTTGCTAATAGAACTTTTGTTAATCTCAAAAAACCAAGAGTTTGACTATTATCTTTAAGTTAGTAGAATAATGTATACTGATAGCCAAAAACTGATAAAGTTTGATAACAATGTTTATGCAACCTTTTTATTTTCGTTACCAAAGTTTCTTTCGCAATTTTCTTCAGGATGAAATTTTAAGGTCAACGTTACGCAACAAAATTTACAAGCTGGACGCGGCAGAAGCGCAAAGCGGTGAATCGAGTAGTTCTAAACGCCGAAAGTATGGTATTCATCAAACTTCCGTTCTAGGTTTACGAAAATTGAAAACTCGAAAGAAGGGTGCTAACATAAGGTTTGTGGTGGCCTACTCCTCACACACAGTTTTTTCTCACATCTAATGGAATGCATAAAAAAACTTTTCTACAATACAAAGTAGCAAATTAGCTAATAATTAAACTGCGCAGTTCCATCACCTCCTAATGGAAAAAAGATTATTGCTTTCAGAACTCTTTCTTAGTTTCTTACCTAATTATTTTGACATCTGTATAAGATTCAGTTTTGACGGGACAGAGGAATCTCAGTCCGAAGATGCATCTTTGTTGAAAGCAGTTAGAGCACTAAACGGTAACAGTGACGTTAGCAAGAATACACTGAACGTTGGCTTTAATCACTGTGGTAAATTATTAGTCTTTATTCAAAACCTAAAATTTTATTTATGACTCTAGAAATATTAATGAGGTCTATGCTTAATACTCTTAGCATCAAACAATATTCTGAACAAACCGCAGCATACTCTGTTTTGTTACTATATTTAACTCTAAAAATTAGTAGCTTGGTGAAAATCACTTTTTTGATACATTTTTTTGCCGGTTAACTTCAGAACGAACTAACTTTTGAAGCTTCAAATGTCCGATGGTACATCTTTAGGCTACGAAGAAGATTCCAGTAATATGCCGTCCGGTGCCTCCTCTACTGGTTGGTTACATAATGTGGACTCTATACTGACTGTTAATATATCAGCAAATTTTAAACCGACAGAGACAGATGAAGTAAAAGATGACCACAGGTCTTTGACTGGCATAAATAAAGCAGAAAAAAGACCAAGGCCAAAACGGGGACAGTACAGGTAAATTACAAAAAAGTCCTTTAAACTCTTTCAGGAAAAGCAAATGAAACACTATGGTTGCTATAGGGCTTAATTTTGGGTATCGTTTGAATTTATCTGCCTACAGTAGATCTAATTGAAACTAGATCGAATTGTTATGCGAAAAAGTTCTCAGGCCACAGATAACACGTGAAATTTTCGAAAAATTATTCTGTACCATTAAAGATATTATACTGCTTTTTAAATGAACTATGAAGCTGTGCCTTGATTTTGGATCAGTATCAAAAAATTCCTGCCAGTTATTTCGCTAACTTCTCAGGTGGTCGCAGTCTTGAGTATGTTTAAGGAAATATGAGAAAAAAACGCTCGAAGAAGCAGTGAAATCTGTACGTCGTGGTGAAATGTCGGTTCATCGAGCCGGTAGTTACTACGGGGTACCTCATTCAACACTGGAATATAAGGTCAAGGAACGGAATTTATCCAGACCTAGAAAATACCAGGACTGTATTGAAAGTAGTTCACCGGAATCTGGTAGTTTCAAAAAAAGTACGTTTAAATATCAAATGACTTCCCTTTCCACTTCTCAGATGATGCTGGCCAGTTGTTGATTTGAATAGAGATGAAGTTTAAAAGAAGTTGGCAAAAAATTGACGGTATTTTCTGTCAGTTTCAGCTATTGTTTTATCGAAAATTACTAGAAGTTATCTTTGAAAACAATAAAAAGTTAAATTGTAGACACAGTTTCTTCAATCTGTATAAAATTCAGCACTCATTTTTTAATTTGAAACATATCAACAGTATTCAAGACATTTTGATGACTGATGAATACAATTGGCTGTTCTGCTTGCTCGTTTTAAAATCTTAATTGCACCAAAACTGTGGTCTAGCAGTTTTTATAACAGAAGTGCAGAAAAAAATTCGTTATTTTCCTTTCTTGATTCTGTTTTATTTCCAATAATTTACTGTTAGGACGTGTTGCTTCAGCAGCGGCAGCAGCAGCGGCAGTAATTTCATCAATTTCTAATACCGCTGGATACATAGAACGTTCGGAAAACGAAGCTACTAGCTCCGACATGATTACTCCGACCATTATTTCGGAAAAATAATGCAATTTAAAAAAAACTATTTTACTAATTACATGTTTATTTTTCCTGTATTAGAATAAATTTATTTAATAATAAAATAAGAAGTAAATTATTTCTGGTTATCTCAGTTGCATTTCGTTCTACAGAACAACTAAGGTCTTATTTGTAACGGTCAAACACTATGCAACTAATGGCTTAATAATTAGATGCCATAGCTGTTCCTAAACTTTAGGATCTAATTTATCAATAACCTACACTTAGTCTCACTCTTTTACATAATAACAACTCGTTCGCTAAAGTCTGTGTAAGAATTAATTGTTAGTTAAAAAACCGAAAATATACAAATGACCCTAAACTTTTATTGGATATTCATAAAGATATGATGATCCGTCAAAATTAATGTTGATCTAGAGGCACAACTTTCTTTGAAAAATTAAAAACAGTCTTACTTTTAAAAACATATGATGTTTGCTGGTTTTGCGATGTACTCTATCCATCTATTTCTTTGATATACAATAACTAAAACAGCATCAGTGTTACTCTCCACCGATTCAGTTCCTTTTCTGCCGCTGGTTAATCGCTAACGAACGAATACGATAGATTATTAACGAGTTATCTGTCTGTCCAAGGTAAGGGCAACACTGTCACGTTCGTGTTGAAAAATTAGTTTATAATTGCAACATGGTTCTTTTGTTTTTATCCTCGCCAGTTCCATAATAATCCTCATTTTCGTTTAGTTTCAAATTTCTTTAATTAATTTATTGACTGAAAAATAAGTGTCTGAAAAAAATTCGCGCAATTTTTCAACTTTCAATTGAAATCTTTGACAGAAACTAGTTGGTGAAAAGATACAGCTATTGGTAGTAGAATTAACACCAATTTGAAATTTTTTGTCCTCTTATTATTTTTCACAAACATTTTCAGAAAGAAAGGTATCGATAACAACAAGCAAAAAAATTATGGTTTTTATAGATCAAGCCCAATTAAGAAAAATAGAAATCACTCAAATAAGTTTAGAACTATATAATGCTTTTTATACTCTGATACTTTTTTTCATTTTTGCATTTAATATTTGTACGTTGTTATGCCTCACAATAGCTACAAGAAAATACAGTATAAACCGAGTAACCAAAAGCAAAACAAATGCTGAGTTTAACTTGCATTTATGGCTGTATCTGATCAATAGACAGATTCCTCAACAGTTATGAAAAACAATATATCAATTGCTTAACTTATCAGTCTGGTAAAATGTCGACAATAATTGCTAAATATACAAGTTCTAAATTTGAAAATTTCTTTTGTTTTTAGATACAACGTGACAATCGTAACATTATTTAAAGAAATTCTTTTAAAAGAAAGAAGCGTTTTATTTCATTGCTCCACTGTGCGCTTCAAGTTGATTTATCGTTAAGATGCTGATCAGTGTTTTTTCCAACGGCAGTCTTAATGATGTAATCGTAATAAAATCGTTTAAAAATCAGTTACAAATTTGACTTCCTGTGTATTATTAAAAAATTACAATTAAAGTGTATGAGCATCACAGAAATCTTAGTAGCAATTTGTACTGATGAAAATAACGATGAAGAAGACGGCGAAGAGGAGGGAAAGAGCAGAACTGAAGAATTATTACTGAGAACCGCGCAGATGGTTGCTTCTGCAGAACAGACAGCAACTGGACCCAAAATGACCCTGGTGTAGACCGTCTGTGACAAAGCGCTGATCACTTCAATCAAATCTGTCAGCCAGGCCTGGTGCATCCATCCGGCCAACCATCCATACGTCGCTCTCCGATCTACAGCACCCGGCCACCGACGGTTTAAAGATTCATCGGTTCATGTATGCTTGCTAACGCAATTTCCATTTTCTCTGATTTTTCACTAAATATTTAATGACTGTTTCTAGTGCTGTTAATAGATATTATCATTTTCGTTTAGTTAATTCCATTTTACTGCAGCATAAACGATGACAAAACAAAAACAAAAAACTTTTTGAAAATAAATTTACTTGTCATCACCAGCAGAAGAACTTCTAAAAATTCTTGATCCAAGTGTCCAAGTCTTTAACTGTCTTTGTTTCAATTGAAAACACGTATATTTTTCTTGCTTTATTTTTCGTTAATTTTTTAGCTTATATTCAAAGCCGATTTTGTGATTGCTCATTCTACTATACCAAAAAAAGGGTTTTAACAGTTTTTTTGAATTTTTTTGATCAAACAACAAAAAACAAAAAATATTTGGTTTCTAGTTTTATTACAAACGGTTAAAAAAAACCCTCTGTTGCCTTCACTCGGACAAGTAATAAAACTATACTTTTGGCAGGAAGTTGGCTTTTTGACATCATTGAAAATTGTGTAAAATTTAAATATTGGAAAACGGAACAATATGAAATATTCTTTGTTCTTTGTTGTTTGATCAAAAAAATAAGTTTGAGAACAGCTGAGAGATTATCTTTCTTTCCTTCCTCTTTTTTTTTCTTTTGTCTTTGGTGAAAGTTATTTTTCTGTACCTTTCTTTGGTAACAACAAGTACTGTAGTTGAGAAATTCAAATAATTTTCCAAAGTTAATGAAAAAATGACTGCTTTGTTTGACAGTTAACGTAGCTGTTTATCATAAAAAGGAGCTTTTTGCAGGGGTTATTCAGACATACTTCTCGAGAATTGTCTTTAGATCTCTGTGCTCCACAAAAAAGTGCAAAGGTGCTTATATCTTGTCTGAGTTTGGTATTGACGGCTTGAATTCCAGTCTGAATGTGTGATGAAGTTATGCTCAATTAAGTGCTCGCTGAAGAACATTATACGCACATTGATCGGTACGGTAACCGCACTGGGTGTTACGTCAATACTATCGGCGCTCGTGTTCTTCACGGCTACACCAGTTGCCTTACAATTGGTGATCTTTGGTTGGTGTTGTTTGACGATTGCATGAACATGCACAAAGTAGATTTCCGCTCCCTCCTGACGACTCGCCAGCATTGCTCGATAATTAAGAACAAAAACTTTTATAATATTTTGAATGTTAGGAAAATGAAAACAAAAACAAAGAAATCAGAGATGAAAGCTTTGTCTCGATGATCTTGATTAATGAATTGTGAGTCGATTAATTAATATTTCTGTTGAAAAGGTATTGCTGTTTTTATTAACAACACTTCTCCAGCTAAAACCCCGTATTTATCTCAACACACAATTCCTTCATCTTTCACTTTCATACAAGCAAATATAAAAATTGTTTCTTAAAAACTTATGTCTGAAACTTAACTTTTTTCACGCCTCTTGGTTTACATTTATTTCGTAAAAATGAAAAAGAAAAAAAGTGAAGTGGTACAGAAAAAACGAAGAACTAAAGAGATACATAACCAAAAGAAGTAGCAATAGAGATTTATTGATTTACTCGTCTAAACGGTTTTGTTTTCGTTGTATTTCAGTTGTTAATTACAAATAACAGCTTTAATAAATTTGTCATCACATTGTTCTTCTAAATAGAAACTTTTTTCGTTTATTTTTTTTTTCCTTTTGCATTTCCCAATAATGATTTTTTCCTCTACTGTTATTTCCGTACATTCACTTTGATGACGTTTGCAGTGATTATCTTTTACTGTCGTTCCAATATACGTCTGAAGTGAGCAAAGCAGTAGAAGAAATATACATATATACATTTAATTATAGATCACCAAATTATAATTTGATTAAAGCTTATTCTACCTTGGTTTTATAACGTATATATATATATTTTTTTGCAGTTTTCTTTAATTTAAGAACTTTATTTTGTTTTAACCTAATAGTTGCATAACTTTTTTAGGTTTAGGTGTAGTTTTGGTCGCAGTCTCAGTGTTAGCTTGGCGCCTTACTGGTATGGAAACACGAAGAAACGCTACGTCATCATCTGTAGTTTATCTGCGCTCTTTTCGACGAAATCGCACATGGGCGTTTTGTCAACTGCATCCAGTTTCAGGCAACAGTTTAAAAAAAAAAAAAACAATTTTTATCAAAGTATACATTGATAAGCAAATTTGGAGGATAAATAGTTGACGTTTTTCACTAAGAAAAGTGACGGTTTTTTGTTGACCAGCTGATGAAGTGACGTCTTTGACCAAAGACTGCTTGTTGTTAACTTCGTCTAAGGCAGTTTTATTTTACGAATCAAGTGCGCTTTGATATTTTAAATCTCACGCTTCTTTCCTGCCACCAAAAACTGAAAGCAATTATAATTTGCAATTTTATTTTCTTTTTACCTCGGTTATGCATTAAATTTTTAAAATAATTTTGGTAAACTGATGGTAAAGGAAGAAAATATTTCAGCTCAAACGAGTTAAAAAATCCGCAAGTTTTTGATAAAATAATTATAGAAATGCTCTTTGAAAGACATAAGCGAGACATTTAAAAAACAAATCTTCTTTGAACAATTCTTGGTACTGTTTCCTTCATTTTTTTTATGTTGACATCTGTTTTTTCGGAATTAGAAGTGAACAGTATGCAAGGAACAGACAATGCGTTTATATGAGAGCGGGCAATTCTATTGCGAAAGCAGACAAAGATGTAAATCCAATTGCCAACAAATGGACAATTGAAAAAATTTAATTTTTTCATGGTCTTTTCTGCATTCCCTATCCACCATCGCTACCATCATCGTTGGTGTTTAAAAACCTCTGTATATGTGTATACGATAAAGCGACAATAACGGCTTTAATAACAGAAATCATTCTACTAAATAATGCTATACACTTTCAAGCTTCTGGCTGCCGTGACCGACGCTACTGTTGCAAAAACTAAATTGTTTCTGATGCTTTTCTTGCAAGGCCGACCGCAGCGATAGCAGTAAAATAATGACTTATACAAATTTTGACCTATGCTGACCGATTGCCTACTGTTGTCGCTTTATGATCTTTGGAAAAAAATAGACCGTTAAGTGGAAGGAAATTTTCTTTTCTCTTTCTTTATTCTCTCTGTTCGTTTTTTCTCCTTTTTCTTAAAACATAAAAAAGACCAAAGAGACCAAGGATTGAGCAAGAAGCGAATAAGATACAG